ATAGATTAAGGATAGGAAATTACTTACTTGTTCTAATACGACAATTTAATTAATTATAACATGTTTCTAATTCTTGTTTTAGATGCACAGTAGAGTCCTTTATTTAACGGATTGGACCTGTGCATGCTCTGGATTTTTATATTACTGAAACATTAATTTTTCCTACAATTACATGAGTAAAAGATTTGCTTTAAATTGCTGAATTATTAGATACACTATTCTGCAATCAACTGAATGATGGTTTTGGACTTAAATTGCTGAACTAAAACATAGGTTTTGTAATTTACATGGGAGTTAACCTAGACTTAATTGAAGAATTAATTGCATATTTTCTGTCAATTATATGAATGGATTCTGGATTTTAAGTTGACGAACGATTAAGTTTTGGTCTCGTCAATTTCATAGATATTGTTATGGATATTTAGTTGATGAACTGTTCCAATTTTGTTTTATCAGCTACATGGATTTATGTGGATTGTATTTGGTGTACTGATTGAGTTAATGCATCATTTACGGATCATATGCATGGTATGTACCGATATGGGACGGTGACATATGGAAGGACGGATTAGATCAAAACGTTAATTCCAACCTATTCATACATACGGAATGGATTAATTAACACAGTTAAATCCTACATGGTTCATGTCCTGTCAACTAAAATAGTTAAACGACATATTAGATGGTTGTTTATATTTTCTGTTAATAGAAAGGATGGGGATTTAATTAAAACATTTAAATCCTAATTTTATGTCGTGTCATGGCAACGAACAGTTGAGCAGTACTACATTGGTTTGGATGGGAATTTATATATATAAATTATGGTACCGCGATCTGAGCTTGAGTCTCATAGTTGACGGTTAGGGAGCGTATATGCAGTAGGATGCGTAGCTAGCTATGTTGGTTGAGGTATACCCTGTTAGGCTTAGGTAGTCATGCCCACTTAGGTGCGTTTTGCATGTTGCCTTCTATTCAGGTTGAAACACTCAGCATAGTCTAGTGAGAGTCATGTAGTGTGGATATATATTTATCTATTACGGACTATATAGATATGGTTGAGACATCTAGGATGTATCTGCGTATCGGGTCTCTGTTTAGATTGTAATTAGGATAGAACTTGTTCGTGGGCCTGACCCACTATTATTTTTCAGGTAACGGACGGTTCCAGGTCTTAGAGCTTGTTCTTGCTGAGCAGAGACGGCTTCTCATCCTTTCGACGACGTAGGAGTTTCTTCGGTATTTAGCATTGGAGTTCTTCAGTTGTTGATTTTAGTGTTGGAGTTTATTAGGGGTCCATCAGATGGATTCCCGAGTTGTATTAGAAATTAAAATTTTGGATGTATCAGAATAATTTTTTATTAATTAACTTTTATTCTGAGGTTTCGGTATTTGGATTATCATTCTAGTTTCTTTTCAGCAATTTATTTAAACCTGTTTTCTTAATTGTATTATGTATTCGTTTTGCTAATTGGTTTGATATCCTCTAGTAATTAGGCGTGGGCCTGGCCAACCCGCTTTTGAAAATCGAGGGTATAACACTTACTATTGCGGTTCTGCTGGAGAAGGAATATGGGTCTGTTTGCCGGAGAACGAAATCTCAAACAAGCCTCGACCAATCCCAGAGCTACAGTCCACCTTCCATGGCCGTTTCGACATACTCACTCTCTTTCTGCGATGGTACTCCCCAATACGCGAATCTTCAATCTACGGCGAAGATGGGTTGTCTCACCCACGACTGCGAAACTAACGAATAGGGTTTCGAGGCAAGGAACACCGTCGGTATTGATGAATTACTCTTAGGGTTTGATTGGAACCAATACGCGACGTTGATCTGCGGCGATGGTGGGTGATAATGGTAGTGGTGGCGATGAGATGACGGGTTCTGTTCGTTGATCCATCGGACACAGCTTCACCGGTGTCGAAATCTCTCGCCGCCATTGAAATCACCAGTCCCTCCCGATGATCTCTCCCGTTACAGTAGGGATTCACAGAGGCCGAGTTCTCCCGAACCGAGGCCGAGCTCCGGCGAGGTCGAAGAGGTGGCGGTGGCAGAGCTCCTCTTCGTTGACTCTGGTTGTTTATATATATATATATATAGAGAGAGAGAGATGAAAAGGGTAAGTTGGTCATTTAAGTATTTTTATATTTTATAATTAAAATTAATAAAATAGTGAAGGGTAAAATGGACTTTTCACATGTTTTAAGGCTCTGTTTGGATGATAAATTTCATAAGGGGGTGTCTTTATCCCAAAATAGGGTAAATTGCATCTGTGTGTCCTTTTGCCAAACCTCAGGGGATGTTAATGTACTTTACCCTAAATATTATTTGGCTAGAAGTATTCTGAATAGTAAATATTTTATTTTTTGATCGCATATGGCTAGAAATATTCTAAATAGTAAATATTTTATTTTCTAGTATGATACGACTGAGACACCACATAGATACGTTTTGGATACTTTCAGGATACGACGAACTAATTTTGTAATTATTTAAAAAAAAAAAAAATTCAATGCAATTTAAAATATATTATGGGTTAATTTAAAAATAATATTAAATTTTAGAAAAAAAAAATAAAAACTTCTACCTCTAAACTCTAAATAATTGATTTATTTATGATTATAGGAATAAAATATATTATTTATATCCCGCATCAGTATCTGTGCTTCCTAGGGTTGGAGGCCTCTTTGTTTATTTATCAACATAATTGTTAGGGGTACACAAAATTTCGGTCACATATTAGCAATTTTGAATGTATTAAATGAATGTATTAACCGTTCTAAATGTGTTGGTTAATTTCGTTTATTGTTGTGTATTTGGATTTTGAAATATGAATATTTCTATAATAGGAATAATAATAAAAAAAGATTAATTGTGGAGCCAAACCGAACTGAACCAATATTTCACGGATTGGTTTGGTTCGGTTCCTTTGGTAAAATAGTTTGATTTGGTTCTAGATTTTTTAAAACTGTTAAGAATAATTTAGTTCTAAAAATTTCTCAAATAGGTCCAAACCGAACTGCATACACCTCTAAGAATTCTTATACTTACCTAACAATTTATTTTGATTAACAAATTTATATTCAATAATATGGATAATATATTGAGGATTGACGTATCTCGGCCATTCCAATGGAGTTACGTTGGGGGAGAGAGAGAGAGAATTTTTTGTATTTCTATACATACAACATATTTTATAAAAAAAATTACAAAGAGTGCACAAGTAAGGTAGTAAGTGAATGCATTTTTTTGTTGGTATTTTTGTTTTATCAGGTATTGTAGTAGTGATCAGGGAAATTTTGATTTTTAGTGACCAAAAGTCGAAACACCAATTTGATGGTTTTACATATTTTCACACTGTAGCAACTGGTATTGTAACTATGAATAATACCCATTTTTTTAAAAAAATAAACTTTTAAAACTAGTAAATTTTTTTTAAAAAAAAAAAAAATTACAATATTTTTTTACTAAACATGTTTTTATATTTTTACATTTAAAATTTTTAAATGACATTACAAAATATGCTTCTAGTTACTGTTCAAAACACCATACAATAAAATAATTGTTTAATTTTGAATTAAAAATATAGAAAGCTGACGTTGGCGCCCCACCAATATACCCTACATTACACATTAATTGATTCTTATATTTTTTATATCATAATTACCATTAATATTTGATAAAGATAGGACTCTGTAGAATTCACCCATTATTCTCTCTAACTCACACGTCCTTGTTTTTTTTATTTTCTTTGGACTTCCGTTAAATTTATGAATTATTTTCTCCAAAAATATTTTCTCCAAAAATGCATCTCTCTATTTGATCGTACTTTGGATTTATGCATATTTCATGATTTAGAACACCCTTATCATCTTATGGCATAGTACGGACTACATATGAATTTAATCAAACCCACTTCAATTCCAACCAAAAAACAAATTAGCAAAAATGTAACAGAAAGTGATTTAACTCAAAACAACTACAAAAGCAATCGAAGACAAACTCAAACTTTGCAACTGCATTGGAAACTTTTGTTGCTAATCTCTTCACAAGATTTCGTTTATGTATACCATCATATTGAAAGATTCTTGTCATGACTCTCTGCCACATGATTAGATTTATAGTGCAATTGAACCTCAAATAAATTTTTCCAAAATAAACATATAGATGTTTTGCGTTTGAATAATTCATGCACAAAAACTATCATTCTCGTGTTTTTTCTCTAGAGCCATGTTCACTTCAATTTCACTTTAAAGATGTGTGATCAAATTTCAATTAAACAATGTGAAAAAATTAAGAAATTCGATTCAAATGTTGAGTAGTAACCTTAATAAAGAAAGACGATTGTGGTATTGAAAAGGTAAGAATCAATTATCTTTTGGCATGAATTTTGTTAGCACAATAAATGATTGCAAATATTAAATATGTTAGTTAAGTCATATACAAGTGACCAAAGGGACATAAAAGAAAACTTGAAAGCGCAGCTCCCGAGTCTTAGTTGTTTAGTGCTACAAATCTAACAAATTGAAATTGTCTTTTTCCTTGTTTTCATCTTCAAATATACGCACCCCCTATTAAGTTCACTGTTCATGTCGCTTGTCAACCGCTTGATCATTTGGTTAAAAATCAATCAACAGTTGTTGTGGTTGTGATTGGGTAAAAATCAATTACTAATTATTATTATTTTTTAAAATTATTTTACAGTTTGTTGTGATTCATTGAGAGGGATTGTTTTAAGATCAATTAGTTCCGTGAAGTTAGAAGCTTGTTTAGCTTTGGACAAGTAAAGAATGTGAGAGGCAAGTTATATGATCCTTTACGCATTTTCAATGACGATCTCAAATAACTGTTATGTGCCTCTCAACGTGACCCCAAAGCCTGCAAAAATCAACCTTAACTTGCATTTCACGTGCCCCTCCTCTACAATGTGTTCATCTACTATCATTGCTGCTTATATAATTAAAAATGCTACAAACACAACCAACACAATTCTCTTCAATTACTAACAAAATTTCTTCAATGGCTTCCATTCAAATTCAAGAATCACAACCTCCCACCACTACTTCAATATTGATAGAAAACATTGAAGTTTCAATACAAAATCTCATCAAAAGCTGGAAGAGAAGGCAGAAATTGCAGCTCTTCTTTAATTCCACTGAAGAACAAGAAAGAGCACCATGGAGAAACCACTTGACCAGCTTCCTAGAATCAGCCCCGGTTCGTGTGGTCGCTATCTTGCTGCTTCTCATTGATCTACTTCTCACTGTCCTTGAACTTTCTTCCTCTCTACTTTCGTGTACGCCCACGAAGCACGATATAGAAGAAGTTTGGTACCATTGGATTGGGATTGCAATCTTGAGCCTGCTATGTGTGAAGACATTGGCTCTGGCATTGGGGCTGGGCAGCTCATTTTTCAGGCGGCCGGGTTATGTCATCGATGGTGTGGTGTTGACGGTGGCGCTGCTTTTGGAATCCTTTTTGCAGAAGAAGGGAGGAGGGTTGCTTGTAGTGGTGAGCTTGTGGCGTGTGGTTAGGGTTGTGGAGACCGCGTTCGAGTTAAGTGATGAGGCCATTGAAGCACAGATTGAAGGGATTGTATGCCAGTTAGATGCACTCAAAGAGGAAAACAGAAGGCTGTTGCTGACTATAGATGAGAAAGACGACATAATACAGAGGCTACAAGAAGAGTTGGATCAATTTAGACATGCTTAATGTTAAAACGAATTTTAAGAATATGTGTGCCCATTAAGCCTATTATTTCTGTCTCAGGCATTTAACTTTGTTACCAATAATTATAGCCCAACAAATTCCATTAATTTTAGGTAACCATAAGTGATGTTATTTTGATGTCAAGAATATTAATTTGTCCAATAGTGAGGCCAATCCAACTATTTTTATCCGAGTAATTTGTCATCTTTAAATAATGCTTTTAAGATAATGCTTTTAAGAGGTCTTTCTCATTAATTATTAAATTAAAAAATCTTTTGAGATGCGTAAAAAGTAAAATATGTAAAAAAATCATATCAATTATTTGATGCATTTAAATTAAAAAATAAGAGAGTTGACTCTTCTTATGAGAGAATAAGCATTATTCTTTATGAATAAGCTCTACTATCAGGATAGTTTATACGTCATTACGAAGTCAATGAAATTAGGATGGTACTAACTAGGAGTGACAAAATAGGTCAGAAACCATTAATTCGTTCATACCCGTCCACTTTTTAATGATTATGAGTGAATTATATTTAATTTGAGAGTTAAGATGGGTTGAATATGATTAACTCATATTTCACCCATCACATAGTAAACACACAACACATATCCATTCTATATTGCACTCAACTCATTTATCTATTTAAAATTCTCTTTCACAATCCTCTCTCTAAATTTGTTTCTCATCAATCCCCCTCTCTCTAGAAATTTCTTTTAAAAAAAATAAATAACTAAAAAATAATAATTAAAAAATAAAAAATTTTAAAACCTTACAAAAAATAAAAAAATTATAAAATAAAAAAAATTATAAAAAAATTAAATAATAAAAAAATTAAAAAAAATTAAAAATAAATAAATAAATTGTAAAAATAATTAAAAAAATTTAAAAATTAAAAAAAAAATAAATAATAATTGAAAATAATAATTATTTTTATTGTATATAATATTAGACAACTAATTATTTTGCAAATGAATAGTAATTTTAGGAAATATTATTTTAATGTAATTTAGAAAACTACCAAAAAAAAAAATGGGCAAAAGTGCAAAAAACTCCCCTGAGCTATTACAAATCGGCATTTTACCCCCCTAGACTATAAAAATGAACAAGTTAGTAACACAACTATCAAAAATCGTGCAAATTAACCCCTGACACTCAATTCTGGCCACTTTCCGGCCCATAAGGTCAGCACGTGACTGTCCTTTTCTTTTAATTCTGAAATTACCCTTGAATATTACGGTTGTAGCCCTCTGATGATAAATGACACTCAATTATTTGTTTTTAAGGCAAGATATGCATATATAAGTATATATGTAAATATATATGTGTGTGTGTGTGTTTTTTCTGTATTATATATATATATATATATATATATATATACGTGTGTGTGTTTTTTTTTCTGTATTATATATATATTATCAAATATAATGTAGTACATTTTAGTGGACAATACACATCTCTATATATATGTTTACTATTAATTTTATTTTTTTAAATTATCAAATTTAATGTTATATTTACTGGAACATATATATATGTGTGTGTGTGTGTTTATTTACTCTTTTTAATTTATTATTTTGGTTGTTGTCGAGATATAAATCTACTAATTCAGATAGCTTGCCAATGGTGTTTGGTTATTTGGAGTAGGGGACAAGGTTTTCCTATTGTTGTTTCTTCCATTACAAAGGACACTGCAGCTTTATATTCTTTGCGTAACCCAGACGAGGTGAATAAATTCTTATTAAACCTAGTGAGGTGGAGCAAAAATTATTGTTTCGGCAATTAAATTGCCTAGATTTCGAGATAGACTAATAAAGAAAATGGTGCATCAGTCCACCAGCCCTTGGTGATCCTGTGCCCATCATAATTGCTATGTATACTTAAGTTGCCTCCATATTTGGATTCAACTTTCGTAACACAGAGCATGATATGAAATAGAGGAGTGCTAACTGGATGGAAGTTGATTACTCATGCACAATCTAGTATATAGAATCAAGACAGTATAGAGGTAGACCACTTTTCAGAGGCTGAGCATTTTTGAGCCGAAAAAGTAGACTTTCTTTCTCTTTTTTTTGGAAAGAAAAAACCCCCCGGCTTGAATTTTTCTCTCATTTAGTATGATTTGTGCTTCATTAAATAAAAGAAAATCCTGTTGGTATATTTATCTGTGTGTGTGTGTGTTATGTATATGTCATTTTCTGATAGATATCTGGTGCAAGGGTAACATGTTTGTTGTTCCAATGGCAATGTTTCAGTTGTATGGAGGTGTCGATGGGGTAGTCGTCGCCGGCCATGAGGTCGGGAAGAGAGATGTTGATGACCCTGCCAGAGGTGTCACAGGCAATGCCTTCTTAGGCTGTGCAGCAATCAGAAGAAGGTGTCCATGAATTAAGCATTCTAAAAGAGTCGTTGATGATTTAGTGTTTGAATTGGAGTAATGCTTCTTGGTCTACTGTATGGCATGCTTGGGATGGAAATGGTGAAAAGAAAGGTGAGAAGAAGAGGAGGAATATGAGTGAGAAAGCATGTTTGTGATTGAAAACCTCTATTGAAGCTTGGAGTTTGGACGTGAGAGTTAAAACAGAGGTCTTGACTATTTAAAGGTATAAATCAACCAGATATTTAGGAATTATTATTTTTTCCTAATGTGTTGCTGATGGTGGGGGTGGCGGTCGTGTACGTATATAGAGAGAGAAAGTGGGTGGAGAGAGAGAGAGGGTGAGGTGGATGGAGAGAGGGTGAGATGCATTTGGGTTCTCTTTCTCCAAGCATTATAGAGATAGGCTCATGAGATGCAGGGTCTCTAATGGTGGGTAGTGGGTGGCAGTGATGGTGGTGGGTGGTTGGAGTGGCAGAGTTGTGAACAAGAGGTGGTGGTGATATAGAGAAAGAAAAAGTGGGAATGGAGGCATGACGATGATGATGATGATGATGATACTGATGTGTATATATACATGTATATATATATATACATGCGGCCGGAGAAGATGAGTTGCAGGTGGAGGTCGACGACGGTAGTTTCAAATCGGCATTTTAGAGAGAGAAGATGAGTTGCTGATGGTGGTGGTGGCGGTCGTGTATGCATATAGAGAGAGAAAGTGAGTGGAGAGAGAGAGGGGGTGAGGTGGATGGAGAGATGATGAGATGCATGTTGGTAAAATAATAAAAAATTGTTGAGGGGCGTTAAGGGTATTTCACGCTGATTATTTATTTTGGTATTTTTTTTTTCTTAATTACAATGGGTAATTTTGTAAATTTACAATGAAGTCGGCTGGAAAGTTGTCGGAATCGACTTTTAGAGGTTAATTTGAACGATTTGGATAATTGTTGTACTGACTTGTTCATTTTTGTAGTTTAAGGGAGTAAAATGCCGATTCCTGATAGTTCAGGTGGGTTTTTTGCATTTTTACCAAAAAAATGAGTAAACTTAGGTGATATGAATACAAAACATAGATTTATTGATATATTAGCCAAAAAAAAAAAGCAAAGAAAACAAAGATTAATTTTTATTAAAGGTAATTGATACTAGATCTAATCAAAATCAATGTGGGATGAAGTAAATATATTTGTTAAAATTAAAGATAAAGGGAGACCTGTCATGTTATAAAATAGAATGAAAAAAAAAAAAATTCAAGATAAAAATAATAAATATATAAAAACTTAAGTGGCCGGTCCAAAAACTAAACTAAAAAAAGGTCACATCACATGAGCTGATTTTGCTGTTTAGGTGATGAGTTAACTTTTTCAGTTTTATTATTAAAAGCAAGAACTTAAAAAGCTTTACATCTAATTTACAGTTAAGCTAAAAATTAAAAAAGAGAATAGTATTGCTATTTCGTACGGACAATGAGAAGGAAGGTGCTTTACTTCGACCATGTGTTTTTCCTTCTACCAGTGATGCACCTACCAAAAATAAATTTTTATTATTTTTCTGAAAGTATAAAAAAAATTTAAAAATAATAATGAATGAGTCAACGGGTCGTAACGAGTTTGACCTTGCTCATTTTCAATTCGTCCTAAACGAATTGAATGTGAATATTAAATTATGTTGACCCATCCATTTTCAATATAACTCACCCGTTTACCACACTTCGTACCAACTTTCATAGCCGGATTTCTCCCACTTTTGCATTCCGAAACATTATCAATGTCCAAATCATTATGTAATTACATCAATTCTTAATTGTGTACGTCAGTCAAAATTGTTTAACTTTTCCACTTCAAATTATTATTATTTATTATTATTTTTTTAGCCCCACCAAAACCCCTACTTGTGTTGGCGATTCTAGCTATTCCCTCTATTTCAATAACTTGTTTGCTTCAACAACTGTAACTCACTAGAGTTGTTCGTTTTGAAAAATGTGACTCACAATTTCCAAATTGGGAGAAGAGGAGTAGTACTTGTGTTTCAACGTACTACAATCCAGTTACCTGGTCTTGCAAACTCTCCGTTTAATTTGTTGAGCAACGAAATGAAGAGGACTCAGCGATTCAAACGAGTCACAAATCCCAAGAAGACGATCCAAACTACCGATTCCAGTTCCATGATCATATCGACCATACCCAAATCCAAACCTAAATCTAAAGTCATATCCCAATTTAATCCAGTCTCAGTACCGCAATTCTCCATCAAGAATTCAAAGATCTTGCCTCCTGATTTCTACCAAATCGACGCCCTCGATCTGGCTCCTCGTCTACTCGGCAAGTACCTTAGGAGAGATGATGTTGTTCTTCAGATTACGGAGGTAACAAACGATGTTCGACGAAATTCCCCAATGAAAAAGTATCTAATTTATCAGAAACACAATATGTATGTGTGTGTGTGTATTTATAAATGTGTATATTTTGAATGTGTATTTTTTCTGAATAAGCAGGTGGAAGCTTATAGGCCAAACGACTCAGCTTGTCACGGTCGATTCGGTATAACCGCTAGAACAGCTCCAGTTGTAAGATGGTTTACATTCTTAGATTATATGTTTGTGATTTGGAAATGTGAACAAAGTTTTGGGTATTTGCAGTGATTTGATGTTTGCATATAATTTGTGAACTGAATGGTGATTGTGGAAACAGTTTGGACCTGGAGGACATTCATATGTTTATCTTTGTTATGGTCTCCATACAATGCTGAATGTTGTGGCAGACAAAGAAGGTGTTGGAGCGGCCGTGTTAATTCGTTCTTGTGCTCCTGTCAGTGGTAATATGTTGAAATTTAAACTTAAATTTTAATTTTTGAAACCTTTAGTGTATTCAACTACATGGCATATGAATGGTTCGTGAATGCATTTACTTAGAAATTCATCGTGTTGGTAAAGGCCATGTGCATGAGGCTCTCGTCATTCCGGTCTGGGGAGGGTTAGATGTATGTGGAGAGATTGTTTCCATGATTTGAACCCATGACCTCTAGGTGACAATGGAGCAACCTTACTCTTGCGTCAAAGCCCACCCTCAAATTCATGTGGTTGTTGGAAGGAAAAAATATTTTCAAATGAAAAACTTAACCGACTAATAAAAGCGAACTGAAGGGAACCAATAGGCACTGAAGTGATGGACTCCACATGTAGATACATGTTAATCTACTAATGGCATTGTTTAGTCAGTTTAAAGTTTCAACTTATATAGTATTGCTTTAGTGGAAGTTTGTTGATGTCCAACCATCACCTTAGTTGGAGTAGAGGTATTAAATGTTTAACTATATGATTTGGTTAGATAGATAATTGCTTTTTGAAGTCTTCATAAACTTGTGTACTATAAGCCATTTTTCTATAGTGGCACATAAGTTTCTTTTTTAAGTGTTTCTCCCTCTCAGCTTCTCTTCTAATATCAATTTGTTATTTTGGCTCTCTTATTTCCAACTCAATATTCCATAATTATTCTTGAAATTAGTGTTGTATCCTCGGTTGCATTTTACCTTATGTTTTAGCAGCTAGCTACCCTCTTGTGGATTGTTAATGAACATAGGCCCTTCCCAAAACAGTAAACATACCACTAAATACTTTGACATGGCAAGTTGCTTGAGACTTTGTTGTAGCACTCGTGTGATGACTATTAGATTTAGTACTCATGAGGATGCTATTAGCTACAAGTTGGAGCCCAGGAACCTTTCCCCTGGAAACAAAGAAAATTTGAAGAAACGGAAAGAATGGGACAAATAAAAGGAATGTTATGGATACCCCCAACTCATTATCAGAAAAAAATTAAATAAATAAAACTTGTACAAAGATAAATATTTTGAATTTTATACAATCTCTTTTGAAGCATACCCGCTAAATTTGAATGCTTGTTCTGAATTACTATGAACAAAATTACAGGGCTAGATACCATTCAGCAGCGCAGGGGTCTGAAAACCGAGAAGCCTGTTCTTCTTACTGGACCTGGGAAGGTTAGTTTCTATCTTCTTTCACTTTTTTGGTTAAATTAGTTTTTTTGTGCTGATGTGTTTATCAAGTATGTCAAATTGTCAATAATGCTAGCCCAGATTTTATTATTTGGAGAGATGAGTGAAATACTGTTAATTTTATGGATTTATCTAATTTTTGTAAAGAATGCTGCTGAATTCTTAGTTCTGCATGGATTTGTTTTCATTTGTGGGGTTGGGGCTCACAACTTTCTCTCTTGGCAGAATATTTTAGAACAGCAATAAATGAAATACCTCATTAACTAGAGAATATCAGATCAGTTTGATAATCACACTACCTTATTTCTTGTCTATTTGTATATTTTCTTAAGATGTATTTACTTGTTTTCGGTACTTACTGATGAACCAGCTTACATCATATTGTAATTAACTTCTTTCACAACCTTTTTGGGTGCAGAAATACTATCAATGTATTGTGAAATGATTATGTATAATTTAACAGTCTTGAGTTATTTTTTATGGACGAAATGAATTTATATACATAATAATTAACTCTTAGCAAACTAAATTTTTTCTTATATCTAACAATGAAGGATTTGAGAAGAAAATTGCAAGGAAACAATGGTGGTTAGGGCTGTAAATAAGGCATGCTGAGTTGAGTTTTAGGTTGCTTGAGCTTGGCCTGACTGAATTCCCTCTGCCAATTTGGTTCTCCATCATCCAAGGTTGGATAACATTAGTTCAAGCTCCGCTAGCCACCTACTCGGCTTACTCATGAGCTTAGCTCAGCTTGGTTCAAATGGCTTGATTTGAGTTTCTGTTAGGACACTTGTTATGTCTTCATGGGTTAACCCATATTAATCCGTCCTAAACGAGTTGAATACGAATATTAACCCATATTAATCCGTCCATTTTCAAAATAACTCGCCCATTCACCACACTTCGTACCAACTTTCATAGTCGGATTTCTCCCACTTCTGCATTCCAAAACATTATCAATGTCCAAATCATTATGTAATTACATCAATTCTTAATTGTGTTCATCAGTCAAAATTGTTTAACTTTTCCACTTCAAATTATTATTATTTATTATTATTTGTTTAGCCCCACCAAACCCCTAATTGTGTTGGCGATTCTAGCTATTCCCTCTATTTCAGTAAGTTATTTGCTTTAACAACTGTAACTCACTAGAGTTGTTCGTTTTGAAAAATGTGACTCATAAATTTTGTGAGTCACAATTTTCAAATTGGGAGAAGAGGAGTAGTACTCGTCTTTCAACGTACTACTATCCAGTTACCTGGTCTTGCAAACTCTCCATTTAATTTGTTGAGCAACGAAATGAAGAGGACTCAGCGATTCAAACGAGTCACAAATCCCAAGAAGACGATCCAAACTACCGATTCCAGTTCCATGATCAAATCGACCATACCCAAATCCAAACCTAACTCTAAAGTCATATCCCAATTTAATCCAGTCTCAGTACCGCAATTCTCCATCAAGAATTCAAAGATCTTGCCTCCTGATTTCTACCAAATCGACGCCCTCGATCTGGCTCCTCGTCTGCTCGGCAAGTACCTTAGGAGAGATGATGTTGTTCTTCAGATTACGGAGGTAACAAACGATGTTCGACGAAATTCCCCAATGAAAAAGTATCTAATTTATCAGAAACACAATATGTATGTGTGTGTGTGCGTGTGTATATATGTATTTATAAATGTGTATATTTTGAATGTTTTATTTTTTCTGAATAAGCAGGTGGAAGCTTATAGGCCAAACGACTCAGCTTGTCACGGTCGATTCGGTATAACCGCTAGAACAGCTCCAGTTGTAAGATGGTTTACATTCTTAGATTATATGTTTGTGATTTGGAAATGTGAACAAAGTTTTGGGTATTTGCAGTGATTTGATGTTTGCATATAATTTGTGAACTGAATGGTGATTGTGGAAACAGTTTGGACCTGGGGGACATTCATATGTTTATCTTTGTTATGGTCTCCATACAATGCTGAATGTTGTGGCAGACAAAGAAGGTGTTGGAGCGGCCGTGTTAATTCGTTCTTGTGCTCCTGTCAGTGGTAATATGTTGAAATTTGAACTTAAATTTTAATTTTTGAAACCTTTAGTGTATTCAACTACATGGCATATGAATGGTTCGTGAATGCATTTAGTTAGAAATTCATCGTGTTGGTAAAGGCCATGTGCACGAGGCTCTCGTCATTCCGGTCTAGGGAGGGTTAGATCTATGTGGAGAGATTGTTTCCATGATTCGAACCCATGACCTCCAGGTGACAATGGAGCAACCTTACTCTTGCGTCAAAGCCCACCCTCCAATTCATGTGGTTGTTGGAAGGAAAAACTATTTTCAAATGAAAAACTTAACCGACTAATAAAAGCGAACCGAAGGGAACCAATAGGCACTGAAGTGATGGACTCCACATGAAGATACATGTTAATCTACTAATGGCATTGTTTAGTCAGTTTAAAGTTTCAACTTATATAGTATTGCTTTAGTGGAAGTTTGTTGATGTCCAACCATCACCTTAGTGGGAGTAGAGGTATTAAATGTTTAACTATATGATTTGGTTAGATAGATAATTGCTTTTTGAAGTCTTCATGAACTTGTGTACCATAAGCCATTTTTCTATAGTGGCACATAAGTTTCTTTTTAAAGTGTTTCTCCCTCTCAGCTTCTCTTCCAATATCAATTTGTTATTTTGGCTCTCTTATTTCCAACTCAATATTCCATAATTATTCTTGAAATTAGTGTTGTATCCTCGGTTGCATTTTACCTTATGTTTTAGCAGCTAGCTACCCTCTTGTGGATTGTCAATGAACATAGGCCCTTCCCAAAACAGTAAACATACCACTAAATACTTTGACATGGCAAGTTGCTTGAGATTTTGTTGTAGCACTCGTGTTATGACTATTAGATTTAGTACTCATGAGGATGCTATTAGCTACAAGTTGGAGCCCAGGAACCTTTCCCCTGGAAACAAAGAAAATTTGAAGAAACTGAAAGAATGAGACGAATAAAAGGAATGTTATGGATACCCCCAACTCATTATCAGGAAAAATTAAATAAATAAAACTTGTACAAAGATAAATATTTTGAATTTTATACAATCTCTTTTGAAGCATACCCACTAAATTTGAATGTTTGTTCTGAATTACTATGAACAAAATTACAGGGCTAGATACCATTCAGCAGCGCAGGGGTCTGAAAACCGAGAAGCCTGTTCTTCTTACTGGACCTGGGAAGGTTAGTTTGTATCTTCTTTCACTTTTTTGGTTAAATTAGTTTTTTTGTGCTGATGTGTTTATCAAGTATGTCAAATTGTCAATAAGCTAGCCCAGATTTTATTATTTGGAGAGATGAGTGAAATACTGTTAATTTTATGGATTTATCTAATTTTTGTAAAGGAATGTTGCTGAATTCTTATGTTCTGCATGGATTTGTTTTCATTTGTGGGGTTGGGGCTCACAACTTTCTCTCTGGGCAGAATATTTTAGAACAGCAATAAATGAAATACCTCATTAACTAGAGAATATCAGATCAGTTTGATAATCACACTACCTTATTTCTTGTCTATTTGTATATTTTCTTAAGATGTATTTGCTTGTTTTTGGTACTTACTGATGAACCATCTTACATCATATTGTAATTAACTTCTTTCACAACCTTTTGGGTGCAGAAATACTATCAATGTATTGTGAAATGATTATGTATAATTTAACAGTCTTGAGTTATTTTTTATGGACGAAATGAATTTATATACATAATAATTAACTCTTAGCAAACTAAATTTTTTCTTATATCTAACAATGAAGGATTTGAGAAGAAAATTGCAAGGAAACAATGGTGGTTAGGGCTGTAAATAAGGCGTGCTGAGTTGAGTTTTAGGTTGCTTGAGCTTGGCCTGACTGAATTCCCTCTGCCAATTTGGTTCTCCATCATCCAAGGTTGGATAACATTAGTTCAAGCTCCGCTAGCCACCTACTCGGCTTACTCATGAGCTTAGCTCAGCTTGGTTCAAATGGCTTGATTTGAGTTTCTGTTAGGACACTTGTTATGTCTTCATGGGTTAGTGAAAAGTAGAAATGAAAAAATAAAGCCTGACATGATCACCATGAAAGGTTGTGTGAATTATATAATAAGCACAGTGTACTTGATATTCACAAGCCCATCTTGGGCCTATTCAACTTCCACTTGTAAACTACTGAACATGCACGTTATTACTAACTGAGAAGTATGCAAAATTTAAGTGCTAAAATGGATCTTATCCATGGTGATATTAGCTATAAATGCACGAGCCCTAAAAAAACTGCTTGTCAGAAGAAAGCATGGCCTTGACCTAAAAATAGCAAAACCACATTCGTTTCTTTGGCTTTCTTTTTTTTCCCTGATAAGAAATATTATAGCAATCTTACTACTCCGTAAAACAGTTGAGAAAATATGACAAAAGTAGTCCCAAACTCTAGAATCTCTCATGTGAAAGTTTATAAGTAACAGATTATGATTCTTTCTTGGACAACAAAAGTAGTCCCAAACTCTACAATCAAAATCCTCGCTCGTACACTTTTTTTTGTTGTATCCTACGGTGCAACTTCACGGAATTTATTTTTAAATTTTCAATACAAAATGACATCTGCAGGATTTAAGTCACAAACTGTAAATCATACTTTGTTTAACTAGTAATGACATCCCAAAGGAGAAAGCGAAGAATATTTATTTATTTATGTATGTGCTGGTTTCTTGGATTATGTTGGGTTAGTTTAACTTAATATCTCCTTTTCTAGGTTGGTCAAGCACTTGGAATTTCAACAGAATGGTCTAACCATCCGCTTTTCTCTCCTGGTAAAGCTTTCTGCCATGTTCTATCTAAAATTAAATGAACTTGATGTAATTCTGATGCAACTGTGTGGCACAGGTGGTTTAGAACTCTTAGATGGTCCAGAACCAGAAAAAATGCTAATTGGTCCACGGGTTGGTATTGAATACGCTTCACCTGAGCATGTCGGTGCATTGTGGAGATTTGCAGTTGCTGATACCCCATGGATAAGTGCACCTAAAAATACTCTGAGTCCACCCTAACCCTCGTCTTCAATTTTATGCAACAACGAACTCCTTATGGAATGAATATAGGTTGAGGAAGGAATGAAGAATGAATGAAGAAGACAACCAAAATGTGACAGTTTAGATAAAAGAATGATGCACTTTTAGGGGAAATAGAATTTGTAGTTTCTCTCCACTTACATTCTCAGTTTGTTTAATTTTTGGAATGTAGGATAAGTTCATATGCAAGAATAACTATATCATCGGAGTCAGTTGCAAAACAATAGGGTCATGTTCTTGAGAGTTGTTAGCCTTTCGTGCGTGATAAAATGTTGGCCCTATCAACGGGCTAGTGGCTCAGCGATATCAAGTTCTTAATTTTTAAAAGAAGTTTAGGGGTTCAAGCCTCAGAGAGGCATATATAGGTCTATGAGTACCAACTAAGAAAATAAATAAATAAATAAATAAAATAAAATGTTGGTCCTATCATACTGACTTGTTTGGGTGAAATATGATTTACCAGAAACACTCATTAAATTGTTGATGGATGGTATAAAGAACTTCATATATGCGGACACTTCTAAATTGCAGATCTAAATAAACAAATGCGGCGTGTTAGGTTCATCATTGTAGACCAGGTAAACATTTGTAGAATTTGGATCAGAAAATAATTTTACGTTTAATAATTTTGAAGCAATTAATTGGAGAATTCATTCAGTAAGTGATAAGACAGTATTAAGTAGCCAAGAGCTCCCCATGCTATTATTTACTCAAAATTAGCTAACCAAAAGCTGTTTAGTAATAAATCTTTCTGCGATTTTACTGCTAATATGGTGAAACAACATCGATGAATAGGGCAGAAAGCAAGGCCAGCGATTTCAAGCAAAGCATGTTATTATTTAATCTTAGCTTCACCAAATTAAACATGTTTTAAAGCTTGGCTTAAACTTTTCAGTCACGTCACGCCTATGATTAAGTGATTGAGCCAAGCTCGATTTTTCCTTAACAAGTTTTGAGTTTTATTTACCCAGAGTAAAGCTTGAATTGAGTTCTACAAACACACTTACTTTGGGTCTTTGATCATGTTAATTTACAAAAAGATCAAAAAGAAAGCTTAGTGGAAAGATATTAAGGGTTCGTAGTTTTCTCCTTAAATTAGTGAGAGATTAACTTCTTGTGATGACACGTTACAAAATTTGAAATTATTTCTGAATTTGAGTACTTATGTTATGTTTAATGGGTGATTTGAATTAAAGATTAGAGAAAATTTAGTTTAAGAAATTCATTAATCATTGCACAAAATAGAAGTATAATAGACAAATCATATAAAGAAGGCCATAATAGAAATATGATGTAATGCCCTTTTTCGCCGAGTATAGGAGCTAATAACCTAATTAAAACAAAATAAAAGAAATGATATGCATTCCGAAACTTTTAATTCGAATGGAAATGGAGGAGACGAAGGTGCTCATCCATTGGATGGATGCATTGTGGGGAACTTTTGGAATTAAAATAATATTCCTTGGAATTAAAATAATATTCCTACAAAAAAAATAAAAATAAAAATAAAAATAAAAAAAGGCTTTAGGCTGCAAAGTGAACATGATTTTTTAGTGTCCCTTTGATGTTGAAACACTTCAAATATACCAGTATTTTTTTACTTGCTTAAAATATTGATTTATTATGATTATTATTTATTTGTCAATAAAGAACAAGTTTGGTTGTTCCCAAAGTTCTAAATCTAAATTGAGTCATGCAGTAATAATAATAGTAAATAATAATATTTACTAATTTACTATTTGCTACAGTATTATTATTATTATTATTATTTATTATCCAATTATCCAACTTTTTTCCCAATGATCAAAATCCCATTCGTCTAACCATGTATACTTAAAACAGATATATAGGATTCCCTCCTAAGGTTAACTAAAATCCCTCATGAACTAGGATGTAAAGTCATAAAGTTAACCAAAACCCACAAGGACTAGGAATCTAGGATGTAAATAAATATACGACTATAATATATGTACCTATATAATAGGGTACCGGCATAAGGTTATAACCAAAAAAACAAAACCCGACTATCAATTTACAGCTTATCTCTACAGCATTAGAAGCCGTCTAGTGAGATCGATCATCATCTTTCTTCATCTCCATGGAGCAAACCAATGAATCCTCCTTTAAACAAGCTTATCGCTGCTTTCCGCTCTCTGATATCAATAAGTCCCATCTCGAAGCCGGAAATAGAATCATAATGCCTCCTTCCGCTCTTGACCGTCTGGCGTTCATGGAAGTCGAGTACCCTTTGCTTTTTGAAATCGAAAACCCTGCTTCTGGACAAGTTTCGCATTGTGGGGTTCTAGAGTTCAGCGCTGATGAAGGTTTCGTCTTCTTGCCCAACTGGATGATGAAGACCATTAAACTCATAGAGGGTGAGTTGGTGATTGTAAAGAAAACCAGCCTCCCCAAAGGTACCTACATGAAGATACAACCACATACCATGAAATTCACAAGTCTAACAAACCCTAAAGCTGTCCTTGAAAAAGCTTTTAAGCACTTTGCTTGTTTGACCATTGGAGATACAATCCTGATCACTCATAACCACGAGGACCATTACCTTGATATAGTGGAAACCAAGCCATCCAATGCAATATCTGTAGTTGAGACAGATTGCGAAGTGGAATTTGCACAACCTTTGGACTACAAGGAACCTGAAAAGAAACCAAAAACAGTGATTACTTGGAAGAATGACCCTGATTGTAAAGCTCAAGAAGAGCCAGCAAAGTTCACACCATTCACCGGTGCCGCTAGACGTTTGGATGGGAAAACACCACCTGCTGAACCAATTTCAACTTCAGATAATGGATCTGATGCTGCTGCTGAGAGAATGAGAATGACTACTGACTTGATAGTTAAGTCTCACAAGAGGCAAGGAAAGCTTGTGTTCGGTTCAGATGATACAATCCAGCCTGCAAAAATATCAAAGTCTGTCTCAAAACAGGATGTCAAGGAGGGAAGTTTAAAGATTGAAGAACAAAAGTTTCAACCATTCACAGGGAAGAAGTATATATTAGCAGGCTGATCACAATGTTTTTCTTCTCTTGAACTTCATATGTATATTCAATGCCCTGTAAACCAGTAAACTAGAGAGATAAATATGGTAAATTTGTATCTTACTTTACTGAAGAATTTTATTTCCATCTCCAACTTTTTATCTTGTCAAGATTATACCTTTCCCAATTTTATCATGTATGCACACACGTTCAAACAAATCTATAATATTATATAGTAGTATCAGATTGTCCTTGCTCATCTCATCTTTGGTAATTCAAATAAAAATTTATATAACCATGAAAAACCATCAATGATTTGACTACTAGTAATATGAACTTTCGATTTAAATATATTATATGAAAGTACATGAAAAAAGAATGAATTGAGAGAATTCAATGCGATGTAAAGTTAAATATTGGTCTTCTCGTAACAATCTCTCAATGCATAAAAATCAGCATTTCTAGAATGCATATATAATCTATTTGCCAAAGACACCGGACACAGGACAAGTAAAATAGCTTAAGAACATCCTATCTATTCTCAGGAAAGTTCCACAATTACGGGATGTAGGATCTATTTTCTTTTCTTTTTTAATCCAAAAGGAGCTCAGAACCCAAAGGGATTCCTAGGTACTAATGTAAATTTTCTTTAATGCTGTTGAATAAAAATCCTACTTAAGAAGCTAAGAAGGGAGGGGGATCACACCTCAGAAGCACTTCGTCCGTCTTCGCACCGAGTTACACTCGAAGATGAAAACCGTAGATGCTCCCTCCCTTCTCAAAAAGATCCATGCAATGCATAAGAAAGTACTGTATTCATGGAGCCAATAATTTATGGTTAAAGATAAAACCATAAGTTCACATAGAAGAAAAGGAAAGAACATAACACAAATTAGTTTTTTCAATGCCTAACATACGCAAACTGAATAAGCAAATTTCATTTAATGACAATGAAATGGGAAAGAAAATACCGATTGGCTCCTGCAGTCCACGTGCTTCAAGGGATAATGCCCGCCATTAAAGAGGAAAGGCAAATATTCAGTCTTGTTAATGAACTTGAACCTCCTTTCAAGAGAGCGAACCGATAAGAGTATATAACTAAAAAGCTGCAACAAATGAGAAACATACAACAGGATCATCTGGCACGCACTGATTCTCCAATACCTCAAATCCAGTCTAAAGAATGCAATAACAATTTTAAAAGATAAAAATAAACAAATATAAAATGGTTATAAGATAATGAAAAAAGCAGTTATAGGCTTATAGCAGTGATACAAAAAATATTTATATATAAAATCCTCAACTTTTTAGCTCAGTTGGAATTATAATAAATAACCATGTACCTAACTCAAGTGATATCTCTTCATCCTCTCACATGAGAGCTTGAGGGTTCAAGACATGAGTTGGTGTACGTGATGCAACTAACCCCCAACTATCTAAAAGTTGCAACTTACCTCCAACCTTTCAAACTAACATTAAATGCATCTAACTTTAAAATATTTTCCTATATTCCTCTTAATATTACTCAAAAAATAGTACTTCATTTGTCCCCAAAAAAATGTCCATCTTTCCTCTTTGGGCTGTCCCAAAATAAATGTCCACTTTCCCTTTTCAAACAATATATTTTACAACTTTTCATATATGTTCTTGAAGTTTAAAATTTCAAACTTAAATATTCAAAACTTAAAGGGCAAGTTAGTAACGTTTTTAAGGGGCAATACATGGCCCACATGTTCCCTTAAAAATTTCTACTCTCCAAAACGGACATATTTTTTTAGACAGAGGGAGTAATAATAATAATAATGGGAATATTTATACATATTTATATTACTTATCAACTATATGCAGAGGTATAAGGGGGAAAGAAAAAACGTATGAATAAGACATACATTAACATGGGTCAGAGGTAGTACAAGAGTAGAAGCACAATAACGAAAAACATATTTGGTGATTTAGGAGCTGAGAGCCAACATATAGGTCCGATAACTCGCAACCACTCTTAAACATAGTTAGATAAGATTTGCCACTCATAAGACGCAAAAAAACCACGTAGCAGACAATCCCAAGCCAATACTATAGGATGTGAAGGCCATGCCCCAATATAACAATTTGAACTCTTTAAAAGGACTAAAACACCAAGGAAGCATATTTCACAACCAACAAAAGCAGTGCAACGTTTCTTAAAAACCACCCTAATTTTCACCCGATTGTTTATACAGAGGCCAAGAAAAGCATTTTTGAGTTACCTACAAATATGGCATTGCAAAGCAAGCGCATTGCTTTATAATTTCAATAAATTTTTTTTGTTTTTTTGATAAGTAAAATTTATTAAAAACGCTCAAAAAAAGGGGAGCGGAACCCATGATAACAAAAAGGCCACAAAACGCCTTAAATCTTCAATGAGGCCAAAAATACAATAATCTCCTCAATGAATTTATAATCTCTCCCTAACACCCAACAAAAAAGAGTGAAAATAATAGATAACTTAAGGTAAAAATAGATTTCTTCTTTCCATCAAAATATCTCCTATTTCGCTCGAGCCAAATGCACCACCAAATACAAAGAGGCATAGCCCTCCAAGCCTCCCGAATAAGAGCCCCAACAGAGACACCTCTCCAAGCCTCAATCAGCCCTCTAGAAGACCTAGACATAACCCAATGGATTCCAAATAATCCAAGCATCAAATCCCAACAATCTCTGGCCATACTGCAATGCAGAAGAAGGTGGTCAACTATCTCCTCATCACACAAGTACATATAACAATGATTGACCACCACCTGATTCCTCCTCCTCAAATTATCCTGGGTTAAAATCTTACCTAAGACGGAAGTCCATGCAAAAAAGGTAACCTTAAGGGGGGCTTTAAACCGCCAAATAGACTTCCAAGGGAAAGAGCCTCCATAATCAACCGAAAGGCACTTAAAGAATGACCTAACCTCGAACCAACCGTGAGAGTTAGGAACCCAAAACCAGCAATCCGAATTCCCAACAATGATCACCTGACGGTACAAAACTTCCAAAAGACGAGTAACATCTTCAATCTCCCAGTCCTGAAAGTGCCTATTAAACTGAACATTCCAAGTCAGTCTCCCGTTTTCAAGGTGATAACAGTTAACCACCATGGTCTATCTATGAGAAGCAATCCTATAGAGCCGTGGAAAAGCGAGAGCAAGAGGAAGTTCCCCACACCAAAGATCCTCCCAAAATCTGATCCTTCTGCCTTCTTTGATCCGAAAGCGAACATGCTTGCAAAAATCATCCCACCCTTTCCGAATAATAGTCCAAACCCCCACCCCTCTAGTACCGCTAATCTCAGCAGAACACCACCCACCACTAATCTCCCCAAACTTGCTTGCGATAACTCTCCTCCAAAGCCAATGCCTCTCAATCCCAAACCTCCATAACCATTTCCCAAGAAGAGCCTTATTGAAAGGCACCAATCTCCTTAATCCTAAACCTCCACATCGAATCGGACGGCACACCTGCTCCCATCGAACCAAATGAAATTTGAACTCCCCCCCCCCCCCCCCCAAAAGAAAGTTGCCCTGCAATCTCTCTATTCTCTCAGCTACAGAAGATAGGATCTGAAAGAGTGAGAAGAAATAAGTAGGGAGGCTAGAAAGGGTGCTCTTCATCAGAGTAACCCGACCCCCCTTTGAGAGATACTGCTTTTTCCAACCCACCAGCCTCCTCTCAAATCTATCTACAACTGGATCCCAACTCCCTACGCATCTCGAAGGAGTTCCCAAAGGCAACCCTAAATAAGAAATGGGAAAGGATGCAGTGCAACATCCAAGAATCTGAGCAAACCTCTCGATCTCAGGGACATCCCCAACAGGTACTAGGATGCTCTTACCAACATTCACCTTAAAGCCAGAGACAACTTAGAACCAAATCAAAACGCATTTCAAATATCTCAATTGAGACTTATCAGCATCACAAAGTATTAAAGTATCATCCGCGAACATCAAGTGAGAGATCTCTAGTTGGTTAGAAACATCCCTGCCCACCCGAAAGCCTCTCAAAAAATCTAACTCCACTGTCTTCTTTAGTAATCTGCTAAGAGCTTCCATCACAAAAAGGAACAGGAATGAAGAAAGCGGATCCCCTTGTCTCAACCCTTTCGAAGAAGAGAAAAAACCCGTCGGAGCTCCATTCACAATGACAGAGAATTGAACACTGGAACAGAAAATAATCCATCTCCTCCAACGCTCACAAAAGCCCATTCTCTCCAATAAGTAGAGAAGGAAACTCCAACTAACATGATCATATGCCTTCTCAATATCCAGTTTACATAAAACACTCAGAATCCCACTACTCAATCGGGAATCCACACATTCACTGGCAATAAGAACTGAATCCAGAATCTGACGACCTCCCACAAAAGCATTCTGAGAATCAGAAATGACGCCATCTATAACTTTCCTCAACCTGGAAGCCAAAACTTTCGCAATCAATTTGTAAAAACATCCTATTAAACTGATAGGACGAAAATCCTTAACATCCATCGCTTCTCCCTTCTTCGGAATAAGAGCAAGAAAGGTGGCATTCAAACTCTTTTCAAAACCAAAACATCACGGAACCATCAAATACAATTCGTGTACATATATGTCATTTTCTGATAGATATCTAGTGCAAGGGTAACATGTTTGTTGTTCCAATGGCAATGTTTCAGTTGTATGGAGGTGTCGATGGGGTAGTCGTCGCCGGCCACGAGGCCGGGAAGAGAGATGTTGATAACCCTGCTGGAGGTGTCACAGGCAATGCCTTCCCAGGCTGTGCAGCAATCAGAAGAAGGTGTCCATGAATTAAGCATTCTAAAAGAGTCGTCGGTGATTTAGTGTTTGAATTGGGGTAATACTTCTTGGTCTACTGTATGGCATGCTTAGGATGGAAATGGTGAAAGGAAAGGTGAGAAGAAGAGGAGGAATATGAGTGAGAAAGCATGTTTGTGATTGAAAACCTCCATTGAAGCTTGGAGTTTGGACGTGAGAGTTAAAACAGAGGTCTTGACTATTTAAAGGTATAAATCAACCAGATATTTAGGAATTATTATTCTTTCCTAATGTGTTGCTGATGGTGGTGGTGGCGGTCGTGTACGTATATAGAGAGAGAAAGTGAGTGGAGAGAGAGAGGGGGTGAGGTGGATGGAGAGAGGATGAGATGCTTTTGGGTTCTCTTTCTACAAGCATTATAGAGATAAGCTCATGAGATGCAGGGTTTCTAATGGTGGGTAGTGGGTGGCAGTGATGGTGGTGGGTGGTTGGAGTGGCAGAGTTGTGAAAAAGAGGTGGTGGTGATTTAGAGAGAGAAAAAGTGGGAATGGAGGCATGATGATGATGATGATGATACTGATGTGTATATATACATGTATATATATATACATGCGGTCGGAGAAGATGAGTTGCAGGTGGAGGTCGACGACGGTAGTTACAAATCGGCATTTTAGAGAGAGAAGATGAGTTGTTGATGCTGGTGGTGGCGGTCGTGTATGCATACAGAGAGAGAAAGTGAGTGGAGAGAGAGAGGGGATGAGGTGGATGGAGAGAGGATGAGATGCATTTTGGTAAAATAATAAAAAATTGTTGAGGGACATTAAGGGTATTTCACGCTGATTATTTATTTTGGTATTTTTTTTTTCTTAATTATAATGGGTAGTTTTGTAAATCTACAATGAAGTCGGCTGGAAAGTTGCCGGAATCGACTTTTAGGGGTTAATTTAAACGATTTGGATAGTTGTTGTACTGACTTGTTCATTTTTGTAGTTTAAGAGAGTAAAATGCCGATTCCTGATAGTTCAGGGGTTTTTTTTTGCATTTTTGCCAAAAAAATGAGTAAACTTAGGTGCTATGAATACAAAACGTAGATTTATTGATATATTAGCCAAAAAAAGCAAAGAAAACAAGATTAATTTTTCTTAAAGGTAATTGATACTAAATCTAATCAAAATCAATGTGGGATGAAGTAAATATAGTTGTTAAAATTAAAGATAAAGGGAGACATGTCATGTTATAAAATAGAATGAAAAAAAAAAAAAAAAATTCAAGATAAAAATAATAAATATATAAAAACTTAAGTGGCCGGTCCAAAAACAAAACTAAAAAAAGGTCACATCACCCAATTTATAAAACTATTGGAATGCTTATTAATTGCCATTTTGGTGTACCCACAAATGAGCTGATTTTGCTGTTTAGGTGATGAGTTAACTTTTCCAGTTTTATTATTAAAAGCAAGAACTTAAAAAGCTTTACATCTAATTTACAGTTAAGCTAAAAATTTAAAAAGAAAATAGTATTGCTATTTCGTACGGACAATAAGAAGGAAGGTGCTTTACTTGGACCATGTGTTTTTCCTTCTACCAGTGATGCACCTACCAAAAATAAATTTTCATTATTTTTCTGAAAGTATAAAAAAAATTTTAAAATTTTAAAAAAATTTAAAAATAAAAAATAATAATAAATGGGTCAACGGGTCATAACGAGTTTGACCCTGCCCATTTTCAATCCGTCCTAAACGAGTTGAATACGAATATTAACCCATATTAATCCGTCCATTTTCAAAATAACTCGCCCATTTACCACACTTCGTACCAACTTTCATAGTCGGATTTCTCCCACTTCTGCATTCCAAAACATTATCAATGTCCAAATCATTATGTAATTACATCAATTCTTAATTGTGTTCATCAGTCAAAATTGTTTAACTTTTCCACTTCAAATTATTATTATTTATTATTATTTGTTTAGCCCCACCAAACCCCTAATTGTGTTGGCGATTCTAGCTATTCCCTCTATTTCAGTAAGTTATTTGCTTTAACAACTGTAACTCACTAGAGTTGTTCGTTTTGAAAAATGTGACTCATAAATTTTGTGAGTCACAATTTTCAAATTGGGAGAAGAGGAGTAGTACTCGTCTTTCAACGTACTACTATCCAGTTACCTGGTCTTGCAAACTCTCCATTTAATTTGTTGAGCAACGAAATGAAGAGGACTCAGCGATTCAAACGAGTCACAAATCCCAAGAAGACGATCCAAACTACCGATTCCAGTTCCATGATCAAATCGACCATACCCAAATCCAAACCTAACTCTAAAGTCATATCCCAATTTAATCCAGTCTCAGTACCGCAATTCTCCATCAAGAATTCAAAGATCTTGCCTCCTGATTTCTACCAAATCGACGCCCTCGATCTGGCTCCTCGTCTGCTCGGCAAGTACCTTAGGAGAGATGATGTTGTTCTTCAGATTACGGAGGTAACAAACGATGTTCGACGAAATTCCCCAATGAAAAAGTATCTAATTTATCAGAAACACAATATGTATGTGTGTGTGTGCGTGTGTATATATGTATTTATAAATGTGTATATTTTGAATGTTTTATTTTTTCTGAATAAGCAGGTGGAAGCTTATAGGCCAAACGACTCAGCTTGTCACGGTCGATTCGGTATAACCGCTAGAACAGCTCCAGTTGTAAGATGGTTTACATTCTTAGATTATATGTTTGTGATTTGGAAATGTGAACAAAGTTTTGGGTATTTGCAGTGATTTGATGTTTGCATATAATTTGTGAACTGAATGGTGATTGTGGAAACAGTTTGGACCTGGGGGACATTCATATGTTTATCTTTGTTATGGTCTCCATACAATGCTGAATGTTGTGGCAGACAAAGAAGGTGTTGGAGCGGCCGTGTTAATTCGTTCTTGTGCTCCTGTCAGTGGTAATATGTTGAAATTTGAACTTAAATTTTAATTTTTGAAACCTTTAGTGTATTCAACTACATGGCATATGAATGGTTCGTGAATGCATTTAGTTAGAAATTCATCGTGTTGGTAAAGGCCATGTGCACGAGGCTCTCGTCATTCCGGTCTAGGGAGGGTTAGATCTATGTGGAGAGATTGTTTCCATGATTCGAACCCATGACCTCCAGGTGACAATGGAGCAACCTTACTCTTGCGTCAAAGCCCACCCTCCAATTCATGTGGTTGTTGGAAGGAAAAACTATTTTCAAATGAAAAACTTAACCGACTAATAAAAGCGAACCGAAGGGAACCAATAGGCACTGAAGTGATGGACTCCACATGAAGATACATGTTAATCTACTAATGGCATTGTTTAGTCAGTTTAAAGTTTCAACTTATATAGTATTGCTTTAGTGGAAGTTTGTTGATGTCCAACCATCACCTTAGTGGGAGTAGAGGTATTAAATGTTTAACTATATGATTTGGTTAGATAGATAATTGCTTTTTGAAGTCTTCATGAACTTGTGTACCATAAGCCATTTTTCTATAGTGGCACATAAGTTTCTTTTTAAAGTGTTTCTCCCTCTCAGCTTCTCTTCCAATATCAATTTGTTATTTTGGCTCTCTTATTTCCAACTCAATATTCCATAATTATTCTTGAAATTAGTGTTGTATCCTCGGTTGCATTTTACCTTATGTTTTAGCAGCTAGCTACCCTCTTGTGGATTGTCAATGAACATAGGCCCTTCCCAAAACAGTAAACATACCACTAAATACTTTGACATGGCAAGTTGCTTGAGATTTTGTTGTAGCACTCGTGTTATGACTATTAGATTTAGTACTCATGAGGATGCTATTAGCTACAAGTTGGAGCCCAGGAACCTTTCCCCTGGAAACAAAGAAAATTTGAAGAAACTGAAAGAATGAGACGAATAAAAGGAATGTTATGGATACCCCCAACTCATTATCAGGAAAAATTAAATAAATAAAACTTGTACAAAGATAAATATTTTGAATTTTATACAATCTCTTTTGAAGCATACCCACTAAATTTGAATGTTTGTTCTGAATTACTATGAACAAAATTACAGGGCTAGATACCATTCAGCAGCGCAGGGGTCTGAAAACCGAGAAGCCTGTTCTTCTTACTGGACCTGGGAAGGTTAGTTTGTATCTTCTTTCACTTTTTTGGTTAAATTAGTTTTTTTGTGCTGATGTGTTTATCAAGTATGTCAAATTGTCAATAAGCTAGCCCAGATTTTATTATTTGGAGAGATGAGTGAAATACTGTTAATTTTATGGATTTATCTAATTTTTGTAAAGGAATGTTGCTGAATTCTTATGTTCTGCATGGATTTGTTTTCATTTGTGGGGTTGGGGCTCACAACTTTCTCTCTGGGCAGAATATTTTAGAACAGCAATAAATGAAATACCTCATTAACTAGAGAATATCAGATCAGTTTGATAATCACACTACCTTATTTCTTGTCTATTTGTATATTTTCTTAAGATGTATTTGCTTGTTTTTGGTACTTACTGATGAACCATCTTACATCATATTGTAATTAACTTCTTTCACAACCTTTTGGGTGCAGAAATACTATCAATGTATTGTGAAATGATTATGTATAATTTAACAGTCTTGAGTTATTTTTTATGGACGAAATGAATTTATATACATAATAATTAACTCTTAGCAAACTAAATTTTTTCTTATATCTAACAATGAAGGATTTGAGAAGAAAATTGCAAGGAAACAATGGTGGTTAGGGCTGTAAATAAGGCGTGCTGAGTTGAGTTTTAGGTTGCTTGAGCTTGGCCTGACTGAATTCCCTCTGCCAATTTGGTTCTCCATCATCCAAGGTTGGATAACATTAGTTCAAGCTCCGCTAGCCACCTACTCGGCTTACTCATGAGCTTAGCTCAGCTTGGTTCAAATGGCTTGATTTGAGTTTCTGTTAGGACACTTGTTATGTCTTCATGGGTTAGTGAAAAGTAGAAATGAAAAAATAAAGCCTGACATGATCACCATGAAAGGTTGTGTGAATTATATAATAAGCACAGTGTACTTGATATTCACAAGCCCATCTTGGGCCTATTCAACTTCCACTTGTAAACTACTGAACATGCACGTTATTACTAACTGAGAAGTATGCAAAATTTAAGTGCTAAAATGGATCTTATCCATGGTGATATTAGCTATAAATGCACGAGCCCTAAAAAAACTGCTTGTCAGAAGAAAGCATGGCCTTGACCTAAAAATAGCAAAACCACATTCGTTTCTTTGGCTTTCTTTTTTTTCCCTGATAAGAAATATTATAGCAATCTTACTACTCCGTAAAACAGTTGAGAAAATATGACAAAAGTAGTCCCAAACTCTAGAATCTCTCATGTGAAAGTTTATAAGTAACAGATTATGATTCTTTCTTGGACAACAAAAGTAGTCCCAAACTCTACAATCAAAATCCTCGCTCGTACACTTTTTTTTGTTGTATCCTACGGTGCAACTTCACGGAATTTATTTTTAAATTTTCAATACAAAATGACATCTGCAGGATTTAAGTCACAAACTGTAAATCATACTTTGTTTAACTAGTAATGACATCCCAAAGGAGAATGCGAAGAATATTTATTTATTTATGTATGTGCTGGTTTCTTGGATTATGTTGGGTTAGTTTAACTTAATATCTCCTTTTCTAGGTTGGTCAAGCACTTGGAATTTCAACAGAATGGTCTAACCATCCGCTTTTCTCTCCTGGTAAAGCTTTCTGCCATGTTCTATCTAAAATTAAATGAACTTGATGTAATTCTGATGCAACTGTGTGGCACAGGTGGTTTAGAACTCTTAGATGGTCCAGAACCAGAAAAAATGCTAATTGGTCCACGGGTTGGTATTGAATACGCTTCACCTGAGCATGTCGGTGCATTGTGGAGATTTGCAGTTGCTGATACCCCATGGATAAGTGCACCTAAAAATACTCTGAGTCCACCCTAACCCTCGTCTTCAATTTTATGCAACAACGAACTCCTTATGGAATGAATATAGGTTGAGGAAGGAATGAAGAATGAATGAAGAAGACAACCAAAATGTGACAGTTTAGATAAAAGAATGATGCACTTTTAGGGGAAATAGAATTTGTAGTTTCTCTCCACTTACATTCTCAGTTTGTTTAATTTTTGGAATGTAGGATAAGTTCATATGCAAGAATAACTATATCATCGGAGTCAGTTGCAAAACAATAGGGTCATGTTCTTGAGAGTTGTTAGCCTTTCGTGCGTGATAAAATGTTGGCCCTATCAACGGGCTAGTGGCTCAGCGATATCAAGTTCTTAATTTTTAAAAGAAGTTTAGGGGTTCAAGCCTCAGAGAGGCATATATAGGTCTATGAGTACCAACTAAGAAAATAAATAAATAAATAAATAAAATAAAATGTTGGTCCTATCATACTGACTTGTTTGGGTGAAATATGATTTACCAGAAACACTCATTAAATTGTTGATGGATGGTATAAAGAACTTCATATATGCGGACACTTCTAAATTGCAGATCTAAATAAACAAATGCGGCGTGTTAGGTTCATCATTGTAGACCAGGTAAACATTTGTAGAATTTGGATCAGAAAATAATTTTACGTTTAATAATTTTGAAGCAATTAATTGGAGAATTCATTCAGTAAGTGATAAGACAGTATTAAGTAGCCAAGAGCTCCCCATGCTATTATTTACTCAAAATTAGCTAACCAAAAGCTGTTTAGTAATAAATCTTTCTGCGATTTTACTGCTAATATGATGAAACAACATCGATGAATAGGGCAGAAAGCAAGGCCAGCGATTTCAAGCAAAGCATGTTATTATTTAATCTTAGCTTCACCAAATTAAACATGTTTTAAAGCTTGGCTTAAACTTTTCAGTCACGTCACGCCTATGATTAAGTGATTGAGCCAAGCTCGATTTTTCCTTAACAAGTTTTGAGTTTTATTTACCCAGAGTAAAGCTTGAATTGAGTTCTACAAACACACTTACTTTGGGTCTTTGATCATGTTAATTTACAAAAAGATCAAAAAGAAAGCTTAGTGGAAAGATATTAAGGGTTCGTAGTTTTCTCCTTAAATTAGTGAGAGATTAACTTCTTGTGATGACACGTTACAAAATTTGAAATTATTTCTGAATTTGAGTACTTATGTTATGTTTAATGGGTGATTTGAATTAAAGATTAGAGAAAATTTAGTTTAAGAAATTCATTAATCATTGCACAAAATAGAAGTATAATAGACAAATCATATAAAGAAGGCCATAATAGAAATATGATGTAATGCCCTTTTTCGCCGAGTATAGGAGCTAATAACCTAATTAAAACAAAATAAAAGAAATGATATGCATTCCGAAACTTTTAATTCGAATGGAAATGGAGGAGACGAAGGTGCTCATCCATTGGATGGATGCATTGTGGGGAACTTTTGGAATTAAAATAATATTCCTTGGAATTAAAATAATATTCCTACAAAAAAAATAAAAATAAAAATAAAAATAAAAAAAGGCTTTAGGCTGCAAAGTGAACATGATTTTTTAGTGTCCCTTTGATGTTGAAACACTTCAAATATACCAGTATTTTTTTACTTGCTTAAAATATTGATTTATTATGATTATTATTTATTTGTCAATAAAGAACAAGTTTGGTTGTTCCCAAAGTTCTAAATCTAAATTGAGTCATGCAGTAATAATAATAGTAAATAATAATATTTACTAATTTACTATTTGCTACAGTATTATTATTATTATTATTATTTATTATCCAATTATCCAACTTTTTTCCCAATGATCAAAATCCCATTCGTCTAACCATGTATACTTAAAACAGATATATAGGATTCCCTCCTAAGGTTAACTAAAATCCCTCATGAACTAGGATGTAAAGTCATAAAGTTAACCAAAACCCACAAGGACTAGGAATCTAGGATGTAAATAAATATACGACTATAATATATGTACCTATATAATAGGGTACCGGCATAAGGTTATAACCAAAAAAACAAAACCCGACTATCAATTTACAGCTTATCTCTACAGCATTAGAAGCCGTCTAGTGAGATCGATCATCATCTTTCTTCATCTCCATGGAGCAAACCAATGAATCCTCCTTTAAACAAGCTTATCGCTGCTTTCCGCTCTCTGATATCAATAAGTCCCATCTCGAAGCCGGAAATAGAATCATAATGCCTCCTTCCGCTCTTGACCGTCTGGCGTTCATGGAAGTCGAGTACCCTTTGCTTTTTGAAATCGAAAACCCTGCTTCTGGACAAGTTTCGCATTGTGGGGTTCTAGAGTTCAGCGCTGATGAAGGTTTCGTCTTCTTGCCCAACTGGATGATGAAGACCATTAAACTCATAGAGGGTGAGTTGGTGATTGTAAAGAAAACCAGCCTCCCCAAAGGTACCTACATGAAGATACAACCACATACCATGAAATTCACAAGTCTAACAAACCCTAAAGCTGTCCTTGAAAAAGCTTTTAAGCACTTTGCTTGTTTGACCATTGGAGATACAATCCTGATCACTCATAACCACGAGGACCATTACCTTGATATAGTGGAAACCAAGCCATCCAATGCAATATCTGTAGTTGAGACAGATTGCGAAGTGGAATTTGCACAACCTTTGGACTACAAGGAACCTGAAAAGAAACCAAAAACAGTGATTACTTGGAAGAATGACCCTGATTGTAAAGCTCAAGAAGAGCCAGCAAAGTTCACACCATTCACCGGTGCCGCTAGACGTTTGGATGGGAAAACACCACCTGCTGAACCAATTTCAACTTCAGATAATGGATCTGATGCTGCTGCTGAGAGAATGAGAATGACTACTGACTTGATAGTTAAGTCTCACAAGAGGCAAGGAAAGCTTGTGTTCGGTTCAGATGATACAATCCAGCCTGCAAAAATATCAAAGTCTGTCTCAAAACAGGATGTCAAGGAGGGAAGTTTAAAGATTGAAGAACAAAAGTTTCAACCATTCACAGGGAAGAAGTATATATTAGCAGGCTGATCACAATGTTTTTCTTCTCTTGAACTTCATATGTATATTCAATGCCCTGTAAACCAGTAAACTAGAGAGATAAATATGGTAAATTTGTATCTTACTTTACTGAAGAATTTTATTTCCATCT